ACACAGAGCCTCTTCAGAGAGTTGGTTCAACTCCAACCAGGAGAAAGTTTGAGTGTCAGGGTTCCAACGGATGCCCTAATTAATTCATGAGCCTCGAGCCAAGTTTCAAAAGAAATCCAATTATTTATTAGGAGCAACGTGTTGGCCCTTTTCCCAAGTGCAGTTGGCTCTGCTCTACGTAATTTACTGCCCACCTATGACCCTGTTTCCCCTCCCCCTCGTCCCAGGGTGTGTCATAAATCACATTCTCCAACTAAGGACTTTCCCGGGCTGTAGAAAACACGCCTTTCCGGCTGGCTCCGGTAACCTGGGACACAATCTGGAGGAAGGTATGCGTGGAATGTTCTTCTGGTCATACCAACCGAACTGCTCCCATCAGATCTTTCTCCCTCCCCACTCCCGGCCTCCTTCTTATGGCAACTCGAGATCTAGCCAGGAATGCTTTGCGAGTTGACATTGAGCCTGCCTGTTGAGCCATCGAGTCTGAATGTTAGATCTCGCTTCTCCCTTTGTGGAAGGTGGAATTGTGACCTCAGGAACAGACCTCAGTGAGTATCTGGGATTTTGTAGTAATACCAGTAGACTGAAAAGCCTACCAACTTAGCTAAGAAAGAAGGGTTCGTCTGTAGGACTTTGTGGAAGCCCATGTTCTCATAGATCCGTTGAGCAATGCGTTGTACCATGGAAGTACCCAACACGACTTCTTGGTAGCCGCGCTCCCGAGAAAACTGGATGGCAGTCTTGATGAGGGCCTTGGAGAGCCCTTGGCCTCGGTGCTCCTTCTTCACGGACATACGCTTCAGCTCCCGGGCGTTGCCCCACCAAGATGGGTTCTCCGGAGGGATGATGGCCACCATGCCAACCACTTCCTCTCCGGTGTCCACCACCCAGAAACAGGAGTCCTTGGTCTCCAGGTAGGTCCTCCTGATGTCCATCAGGTCCGTGGTGAGGGCATGTTGGAGATAGTCATCCCACATGTTCTTCATGGAAAGCACGCCAACCACCGAGAAGATGGACGTGGCCGCCAGGGAGATGGTGTAGGAAGCCGAGCTCAGGTAGGTCAGGAGGAAGACGGACAGAAGCCCCAGGTGTGTCTGAGGAGAGCTGAGAAAGTGCCACAAGGCCCGAGGAATATGTTCCTTGATCCCTTGAATGTAAAAAGTGCGCAGCATCTCATAGTCTCTCTCCTCATACTTCCGGATGTGGTACTTTACTGCCACCGAGCCACGTTTCTCCCGTCCTGGAAAA